TCTGAACGTCATGGTGCTTGGTTTATCGTGTTGACATAGTCTCTTTTCTTTGAAGCTGTGTCTTTCATACTGTTAATCCTACGGCACTTGACAAGCACTAACGTTTTTCTAACCTGCATTATACCACTGTTCCATTTGGATATTCATGAACTGTATACACAGCACATATTAAGAGAGTATGTAGGCGGTTTCAAAGCAAACGGAGGCTTGAGCTCAAACTTCACTGGATCACTCATGCCAGTTTGAGAAGTGTAGTAAAATCATACCCTTTGGGCGAATTTGGGACCACGGTCCTCTTCGTGATGGAACTACTCGTTGAGTCTATGGCTGTTGCAAAACCTGTACCGCTCGTCTACCCTAACAAGTTACGACGAGCGCCGGAACCCAGCAGTAGGTTGGCAGCAACAGGCATTCGGATTCACGGTCGATACTCATATACTGGAAGGCAGACACCATAACGGAACCGGTGTGGTATAACTCCAATCCATACCACTTATCGTGCCCATCAATCATCCTCGCAAGTTAACCTAATATTCACATTAAACAACTACACTGATAGTCCGTTTCAGACAAGCGAACGGATGTGCAGGAATCGTATAAGGAAATACTTCCAGACAACCGCCTTGGTCACACTGAACTTTCATTCTGCTTCCCCCGGTTTCAGCTTGTGGATATTAGCATCAGAAATGTATCCACCTATCGAAAAGAGTAAGGTTGGAACTCGGATTCAGCCTACATCGAAGATTGAAATGGTAACGAAACCAACGAAGGCATCCGAACTGGAGGGTTTCGGTGTTGCTCTTTCCCATCCCTGCGCACCACGACCGACGGTTTCGTCCTTGCTTGCACTCATCAGATAGAGAGAGCCTGAGTTGGGAGTGAAACTCGGCACCTAGTGGTTGTCGACTACCGCAATGACAACTAGGCCTTTGAGCCCCGCGAACAGAGCTTAACACAGCGATTAGAAGTTGCATGTCGGATTTCGGATTATCCGCCGTGTGTCTTGAATTGCGACACACAATCTCATTTGTAGCCACGGTTGACTTTGAAGTCAGCCTGTGCGATTCCGCTCACTGGGACAGTAGCCGAGTACACACCCACACCCACACAGACAGACTTGTGTTGTGTCGGGTCCTCTAGTTCATATTTCAGTGGATGGATATGGTATACAACATAAACACACAAAAAATCGTCCGGCATGGCGCTTTCGTTATTTTTTTGCTATCAGCACTACCGCATCGGCATGCACCGAAGAGCTTGAGGTGCTTATGCAGCGCGTCTCTCTGATACACGCAAACATACACACACATATAGTACTGATGTTCTATCTGTTTCTTGATATGTGCTTAACCTCAGTGCGGCCGAAGCTGTTTCGAAACCGACGACCACTTGCTTTTGGCAATCGACCAGCACACGATGTAAACAACGATGTTTGCACTGGGATGAGTGCGTGACAGATGCAAGTTGACATTATATATATATATATATATATATATATATATATATTACTACGAGAATCAGAGAACGTTTCTTTCTAATTCAGTACGCAAAGGTTTAGAACAAACTTTCAAGTGTTATCAAAACATGCTATACACTTTGTAATTTTAAGCTTGTGAATAGTAAGCATCTAACCGTCCAAAACGTGATTAAGATGTTCAGGACATCGCAGTCCATAGATAACGCATTCGAAAACGGTATCAATGGTGCCTGAATAAATTTCCGAAACACACACACATAACATTTCGGACAACAACCCCTTTCATTACTATTTTTTTCTCTGCCCAAACATCTGTCATGTGATTGTGAAGAATCCCGATTCAAATGCAGGAGAAAAATAGCAGAACCATTCTGATTACTCTGTATTAGAAAAGCACGGTAAGAAGATGAAAACTGGTAAATGCATGCATTTCGTATTGTCTCCTCAGTACCATTAACAACAACCGGTATGCAACTATATAATTAAATATGCATGTGACCGAATAAGCATGAGTATTACCTAATTTGCAATTGCGCCCATGTTTATTTCTGAAAATGTATTAATGAAATGTCATGGAAAGGTTGTACCATTATTTGATCTGTTCCTTTTAGGGAACAGCTTCTCGCATCGTCGAGGAATGTACAATTTATTTATTTATTTATGTTGCTGGTGTCGGACGAGAACCTGTGTTTTCAGCATGGTATGATCGCGGCTGTGTTACCCGTGCTGAGGCTGATGTTGCATTCATGATGGATCTTCACCGCACATGGGCTAAACCAACTTACACTTAAATTAGGTCTTTTTAAGCTGGATACATTTCCTACCACTTTATTTGCTTTGTTCTGTCTACCTGACTAATCTATTAACTTGCACACATTGCTTACGCTAATTGCGCTTTTATTCGTTAGCACGGTTGTGGCCCTTTTTGAGTAAGTTGTGGACATTTTGTACTTATCGCGGATTCCTTGCTAACCAACTTACTTTATATGCTTATTTAGTGACGAGTTACGTCACTGTATCTTTATGCATTGTCCGGTTTATTTTATTTGATATCGTCGTTTCAAATGATTGGCTGTTGTTTGACATCCCCGGCGTGGTCGCGCTTGACGTGAATGTTGACAAGGTGCCTACCTGTCTGTTACCCACTACCTCGTCCATACTGGCTCCAGGAGACAGCTGGTCGTTGCTGAGTGGGGTCGGGGTGCACAGTCCTTGTGGTCGTGCTAGGCTCGAAGAGTGGTTCCATGCACTTAGTGTGGATCGGACTACGGTCCAGCCACCGCATTGTGTGCACTTGATTCCCAAATAGAGCGCGCTTGTGTTTGTCTGTGAAGGAGTGTGGGCCGGCTCCGTTGATGAAACGTGGCTGCCATCCACGTGCCTTCCGTTCTTATTCCTTCGGGATTACAATGGATATGGTGTGTGTGGTTGGAGCTGTGGGTGGTGCAGCACAAGCCACTCATGTTCACTCTGTAGGCGCAGGCGTTCTGTGGCTGGCTCCAGTGACATTCAAATCCGAAACCGGATGTCGCCAACCAATATTGCTTGTGTGTAATGGTTGTCTTGCTTGTTTCTAGGCTGCATTCTGTCGTCTGTAATACAATATCGGCCTGAGCGAAAGCAACTAAATATGAAGGCCTATTAGTCGCACAAACTTGAAGCCGTGCCAACTCCATGTTTTGCGAAGGACGATGACACACATGAACGTCAATCACGGTTGTAATGGAGTCGGCTCGTTGGTATGCGAGTGATAAGCATATTGTGATGACTCATGCGTTGTCGTTGGCTGTTTGCACGATACCACTTGTGGGGTTTTCAATTACCCACTGTGTAGTGCAAAAGAACCGTTCGTTTAAACTAGTCATTGCTTTTGTCATTTGTTTGATTTCTATTGGCAACCCGTGGTAGAACGAACATTAACGAGTCTACTTCCACCACTTAGAACTCTCTTTAATGTTGCCAACTGTTCAAACACACGTATACCGGGACTTGGCTTGCTACCTTGCTACTGAGTACACACTTTTTCGTCTTGTTGGTTTAATTGGGTACTCCGCTTATCAGAACATTGTCATTGGACCTTCTCGTCGTCTCGCAGAAGTCGAGGCGCTTATAACTCAATGTTTCAGTTCGCTGTGCGTTTACCGTGTGGCCCGTTTTAACGCTGCGCACTCTGAACCCGCCATTTCGTATCTATCACAACTGATATAAAATTGGAAGCGAAATGCGTGCCAAACGATCTTTGGCGTGAGCTCTCTATGACTATGAGCCCAGCTGTCAGAGCAACGATTCTTGGTGGCTAAAGTTCGACAACTGGGGTGCCGTTATCAAGCGGGTAAACATGTGGTCAGAATTCGCGTTCATGTATCATGAAACGGTAGACTAGGAGCGAACACGACGAGCGTTCCAGCACGATACTTTGTTCGCTTTAGCAGCGGATACAATTCCTGACGTCGGATACGGGGTGCCAAAAGAGCTGAAGCACCGCTTTGGGCCCCTCATCGGAGCCTGAAGTGTTGCGAGCCATTACGTAGTGCCCAAAGGACAAAGAAAACAGTCTAGTTGTTGTCAGAATACTTACAACTTGATCTGCACCAATCTGTGATAGCTCATGTTATAATAACTGAACACGTAAATGATAGACTTCTCTGAGTACAGAGGAGAAGTAAGGGGAGTTGTATTGTGTACGTAGAAATTCCTCACATCTAGACTCCCTCAGACAGCCGTCACACACCCGGAAAAGCACTGTACGCGTGTTTCATGCCTTCGCGAATCGTTAGCAGTTGCATTCCATCAGACTCTGGTAGGACTCGAACCCGCAACTCGACTGTTGCCAGTCCATGGTTAAGACCACTGAGGTACGGGGGACGGCAATGACCATCGTAAATTAGTTACTAGATGCGATATGGCGCCGCTCACTATCCACTGACTTACACGTTAGTGCCGTGCAAAGGACAGGGTAGCTCGTCGCTTGACGAGAGGGCTACCCTGTCATCTGCACGGCAGTAACGTGTAAGTCAGTGGATAGTGAGCGGCGCCATATCGCATCTAGTAACTAATTTACGATGGTCATTGCCGTCCCCCGTACCTCAGTGGTCTTAACCATGGACTGGCAACAGTCGAGTTGCGGGTTCGAGCCCTACCAGGGTCCGATGTACTTCTTGACAATTCGATACACAGTCCAAAAGAGTGGTCCGGTCAAATGTGTTCAGTAAGTTAAAATAAAACGTGGATATGTTACCAAAGTATCAGCTACACTTATAGATTGATTGTGTGTAGATCATCAAGGAGCGTGAACGAAACCAGGGGAAATGCGGAATATGATAGATATGGATATAATTTGCTGACAAACTGAAACAACGCAAACCAGTACAAAAGCACTTGAGTGAAATCAAAAACAAAGCGTAAGCGGAACACATACGATTCGCAAACTTGTGTTGCAATTCCACAGCGGTGAGGTCTTGGCACTCACAAACGAACCACGTGAGATTGCACTGCACCGTTCAAAGCTACATGTACATACCCCAGCTTAGGCAGTGGGAACTCAAAGGAACAGAACTGTGCAGTCAAAGTTCACATTTAATTCTGAGCTAACTTCCGCTACCTTAACCGTCAAATCCTTGTAGCAGATGGAGAGAGCAACGGTGCAATGGTACGATCCGTGGCGTAGCAACACGTTTTGCCGCCCGGGGCGGTGGTACAATTTGGGCCATAACTGAGGGCGGAGTAGCTGCGTGAAGGCCACACAGTCGACTCAGGGTAAAGTGCACATTAATTTTCGATGAAATGGATGTTTGTTTGGGACACTGCGGTAAAGTTGGTGAAAGTGACCACTGTGGGACAACTAAGAGGATCACTGGGAAGAACGTTTGCACAGATGTGACACATGGCGCAAAGGTGTTATTGGTCATACCTAGTAACACAAATATGTTCAGCCCTCAGCTTATGTGGAAATCTTGTCCTTTATCTTTGACACTGAACAAACAACGGTAGTAAAAATGCCGCGCACCGTAACATGTTGTCCGGGGCGAAGCGCCCCCGTTCAACCTCTAGGTACGATGGATGGAAAGGCAATTGTCTGACAAGTCCAGTCAGTGAAAACAGTAAAACCAAGAAGAAATGACATGAAAGAATAGCGCTGAACAATGAATTCATCGTAAGTTTCACTTGTGTCCACAGTTTAACCCCCTTATGCAGTGGCCCGATGAAGTGAACCAAATCATGGGGTGTAGGTGGTTATTTAGCATCAAATCGGACTCTGGATTCGCTTAATGTAAGGGCAGAAGTTGCGAAAATCGGAAAAACAATCCACAGCTGAGACTCGAAAAGCTAGAACTCCAACCAGCTGTGACGGATGGCCAATTGCAAACGGTGGCTTCCTATTGAGATTTCATGAGTGAGTTTCATTCAGTGAGTTCATATGTGGTTGGAGTCCCTGAGGATCTGATACACTACAAGTAATTGTCCCAAAATCGACTATATCGTCCGCCAACAACTCATAAGGAGATGGAGTAGGCCCGTCACATTTTTGGTTGCCCTTCAGTGTGCAGTCACCTGAGCAGCAAGATAAAGCCTTTTCCAGGGTTATCGGACCTGGGGGGCTTTCAGTAAACGAGGCCCAACGCAAGTGTTGTGTGTTGTGAAAGGGCAGTAGAGTGGAAATTGCCAAAAACCCTCTGCATAAGGCATACGCGTTGACTACAGTTGCTGGCCGCTTTATCAACCTGGCTTGAACGACTGAGGTCTACTTGGATGTGTCGTCCGAGAACACATTGGTGAGAAGCCCTTTGCGAAAGATGATTTCATCATCAACACCTGTAGGTGTTTGGGTGGCGCTTGCTCAATACCATAAATTTCGCTGCGTTAAATTTGGACATTTTGTAAGATGTCGTAAGAGAACTGATGTAGGAGACTAAGACTTTATACCCTGTCATATCGTCGGCTTCGAGTTGAGCTCATTATGACGCTCCGGATGCAGCACCTGATAGCATTACCGGGTTCATGGCTCTGCAGAGCGTAAAGAAGAATGCAATGGTCCAAATGGTCGAAAGCTTTCTAACATTCAAGATAGGCAGTGTCTACTTTTTCTTCAGGGTCGATAGAATACGTTCAACTGGCATGGACTAACCGAAGGCTCCTAGCGCACCAGCGTCTTTGGCTGGATTCACACGGAGCAGTAACCATGCTACTCCGCTTGAATGCTTCCGTAACGATAGCTTACATGACATTAGAACTTACCGAAATGAGTTTTGTGGATTGGCAATGTACGGGTTCAACACATTGGGAACACGTCCCAAGACAGACACAAGCAAACTTCTGGGGGTTCCGCATCTCATTACAACATCTGGTTGGCTCTTAAAGGCAGGAATCAAGATGGTTGCATTGAGTGCAGCCAACTGTGAGATATTAACGGGGAATAATTGCAAAGCCCGTGATGTCACACCGCACACAAGTGCAGTTATGACCTAGTTTCGGCGACAATAAATCAGAGAGGTCCCACCAACTGCGGTATGGAGATAATACAAGCCTTACTTATTAATAGAACGGAAGGTCTATGCTGAGCTCATAACCAAGCACGAAATAGAAGGCTAATATTAGCTGTTGTATCATGGTGAACTCAATAGGTTAGGTGTCCGAAAATGACAAAGTACGCCGAATGTCAACCGGGCACATGTTGCCGGGCGCGCGTTTCACTTACACGGTGCCATGCTGTCTCATGTGTAAATAACTATGACCCTCGAGCGTAGTGCGCATGTAACGCAGTCTTAGGCCTGCCACAACAACTGGGAAGTAGTTATCCACTTCGACGGATCCAAAACAACCAATATCACGTCGATCCAACAACGGCAGCTGTCAAAGGGGTATTCAACATATGTATTCCTTACTCTGCAAGACCCTGTATCAGCGATCGTATTCACCAGGCTTTTTGATCCAATGCGAATGACCTATCTGCAAACGTTCCGGATTATTAGTTGTTTTCCGTGCCATAATTTTTTAATGCTTCCTACCTTATACTCTTCCTTGTTTCACTGTTGACTACTAGAAGTGGCAACTAGAAGTGCCATGCTCAAAAGAGTCCACAGCATACATTACCAGTCCTAAAGACATTTTGCCGCACTGGTAAACGGTCAGCTGATGAGGAGAAGTGCTGATGAAACCTTTCGAGGATACAGCCTGCATGGGAGTGAGTCAACTGAAGACGGTTCCACGAGTGAGCGTATTCTTTCACTAAAACATTTGGCCAAATCTACATTTGCCGTTACTGCCAATTTATCAATCATTCTAATGAATTAAACCATCAATCACAACAAGAATTCGGTTGGGTTTATTGGAAAATAACTCGCACAGTTGTAGAGGGTTCGGTGTGGCTCTTTCCCATCCCTGCACACCACAACCGATAGTATCGTCCTGTTTGGACTCATCAGGTAGAGTTAGCCTAGCTGGGAGTGGAATTCGGCTCATAATGCTTGGTGGCTATGGTCATGATCACTAGGCCAGTGAGCTTCGCAAGCAGCGCTTGACACAGCGGTTAGAAGTTGATTTTCGGGCTTTTGAAGCACCCGCCGTGTGTTTTGGATTGCGACACGCAATCTCAATTGTGGCCTCGGTTGACTTTGAAGTCAGCCTGTGCCAATCCGATCACTGGGACCGTCACACACAGTGGGTGCCCCAAAACCCGAGAATCAACTCGAACATTTATCTGGTTTGTGAGATCCGGGTGTCGTATGGATCACATCGCTTAAATGGACAGTGGTTTGCCTTTCCGAAGAAGGTACTGGATGTTTATTTATTTATAAATGCGCAGTAATCGCAGCCAAGCGTACGTGTTATTTGTACGTGCTATTTGTGTGGTCACGGATCTGCAACAATGAGCCGCAACCATCGTGTTACACAGAAGGAAAAGCAGACTACGTTGTACGAAGTTCCCACATAATGAGCTCGACAGACGTATCCGGTGTCGTCCACTCGTAGGCAATCGACTCGGCTTGGCTCCAGGTAGCACGTCTTAACCCCCACCCTGAGCCGACCAATCGTCCATTCGCTTGTTCGATGCGAATCAAAAATCAAGTGTAGCGAGATGAGTTGCTCACATAGTACCAATATTTGTGCCGAATTATTTGCTCGAACAAGTCCGCAATTGTGGAGGGCATCTGGAGACAAACACAAAATATTGAGCCAGAACCGGGAGACATATTGCAAGTGGTTGCAACGCCGTACAACTATTGTTTGAAGTTAGTTTCAGTGGGACCCCTAAAGAAATGGAAACGGAAACACTTCCACCACCTAGGTAATGTAATTAAATGTTACAAAAACGACAAGGATTCAGTAATCCTAGACGATAAAACCACGCAATAGCCAGTTGCTGTACAGAAAATAAACTTAAACTTAATAGTGCACGATTGCGCTCGCACACAACCAGAGCTATTATGATCATGTGGCTCTTTGCGTAGGGCATGCAACAAGGCTGGTATTTGAGCAACTTCACCATCAATTGTCCACAAAACACCGATGACTAGAGATTTAATGCGATTCCAGGAACATATTTCGGAAATTTGTGCCCGATAACTGACATGACGTAGGTCCAGTGATTGAGACCATTCGCAGGGCTCGTATAGAGAAAAATGTAGCTCACTATGCCATGTAGGAAGAAGATTTCTGTAAGCATAGCCAGATTACTTCTAAACAACACCCGAGAACAACCCGTAAACTGATACGCCTGGGTATGGTCTTCCCAGAATAAAGGGGAAAATACCGAAAGATCGTTTTCACGTAACATCGTCAAAGAGACAAAAATATTTGGGACAAAACATACTGGACATTATAAACAGAGCTAGATGAGCACAAAGCGCTATGTGAAAGAATTTTTCAATGTTCGTTAACTCTAGTACAACCGATTGAATAACAATGTGTGACTGGTTGGACTAAACCCGATAAGTTGGCACAAAAACAACCGGAAAAGTAGCCTTATTCCCCCATTTCTGGTTTTGGAGGAAAACGTCTGGAAACATGCGAATCCACGCAGACCAAACACATCAACTACATATATGAAAAGTGAAACCATACGCAAGGATCGCAGTGCATGATATACGTGCGATAACATTTAGGAGGAACTGTCTACGGTAAGCACATAGGATGAGTTCGACATAGGGCGATAAAAGACAGCGCCAATAGGTGCAGGGTGTCTCACAAGCAACTTGACGTTTGGATACTTTTAGGCTGGGGTTTCGGTCACCGTGGTTGTAGAAAAAAAACTACAGACTGTCGGCACTCTACGCGGAACCACGGGCAGCTTAAGTGCATTTTCCGTGGTTCAGACCATACAGCTTTTAGTTACTGCAACTCCGAAGGCTTGAAACTACGGGCCGAGGAAACAGTCCGGCCGGCCGGCCCATCTTACTTCAACTTCAAGTTCGCAGATGTAAAAGTCGGGAACACATAAGAGTGACCAGACCACAGCCTGTCCTATGTTTGGGCCGTTGTTTGAATATGTTGTTGTTGTTGTTGTTGTCAAGATGACTTTACCAGCCTATCTTACCTAATTCAAGTGAACAACTATGATCCGGATGCCAAAGTGCGGTGGAGCCAGTTGCCAAGATTCACATCGCCAGACCGACAATACATAACAATGGTAGGAAATTGAGGCTGAAGGCAAGTAGAACACAACGAAGATGGGATCGAGGAGGAAGTGCGTTAAACTAATCGTGATGGAATGAACGTTACAAGCTAGCTGTAAGAAACTGATTGCAGGAACTCTACTGCATTATATCACGTAGGCTCCAACCCCTGGTGTGGATCATACCGGGCCTCCCAGCCACGAAGACGGTGTGCACCAGTCTAATTAGGTATTTGGTTCAATTTCTTCATCTTTTTACGTCATCCACTGGCCACCTCGCGGTATAGCCCACCATAATGCGGCCGGGGGCGAATAATGCACGCCGAGGAAGTCGGTCAGTGGACCTCCTGAGGACATGATAAAACCAAACTAAGCGGTTGAGCTTAAGCAAACATTCGAGTAAGGCACCAGAAGGATGCTTCCTAAATACCAACCGGCGGACCTCAGCAATGCTCACCCGGTGTTCTCACCAGATATGAGCAATACT